TCTCGCAAAGTTTTCGTTCAGCCGGGGTTTGTTTCAGTCATCCAGTCCCTGTAGCATGGAACCCAGTCTATGAGTGAAGATTTGCTGTTGGGTGGTAAAATATTCCACTCACATCAAATGGCAATTGTACTAGTTCGTTCTCGTACGTCTTATGGTCTATTCACTTGAAAGGGTGTGAAATCTTTTGGTGGGTAAAACACTGTGCAATACACTTACACAAACTTTAAGCCTCAAGCGGGACCATGATATATGTGCAGACGATCAGGAAGAAGCAATACAGCTACTAACTGGTTAGTGGGAACAGTAAAGGAAGGAATCAGTTCGAATAAACAGCTCACTTTGATTTTCTTACCTCGCGTTTGCGTCGGATTCTCATTATGAATGATTCTACATCTGTCTTACAAACTAAGCTATAGTTTCGTTAGCTCTCCAGTTCTAATCCGTTGTAAGGAAATTGCATATGCGCGTGCTCGTCCGTACACACATACACACACACACACACACAATCTCGTCTGGGAATGAACTAAGCCTCTCAACCTGTACATACCTGTCTTCATTCATTTTCGAAACTAGCAGGTAATGTATAAAGAAAACCCCATTACTCTCAATGAGTTATTTTGGCTGTCATTGCTATACCTCTCCGCATTTCCGTTAGCCTACCCCGAGTCCAAAGTACATTGGTTCATGTCCGCGAATCGGGTCGACTACGCGAACGGTTTCTTCGTTTACGATCACGTAATCGCTTAGTTCCGCTAGACTAACAGAAAAATGTGTGAACTTCGTTCGAGCATGGGGGAGGTGGGGGGATTATTATTGTTATTGTTGTTGGGTATTTGAAGTGTCGTGCGCTAGGAGCACATCGCATATCCGGGTTGGGTGGAGGAGGAGGGACGTAGGAGTAGTTGAATTATTCACCCAGGGCAGACTAAAGTCACATTCATTATCACCATTAACTGACCGGGAAAATTTATCTTCTGTGCTCCAGAAACAACGAGGGAGTGAGAGGGTGAGGACGTTGTTTTGTACTTTCAATATCCGAGGTCCAATAATTCGAACGAGAGCCAAAGTCGATTTGACCGATGGTTTCGGCAGTGTCGTGATTGATAATTACGCCGAACTCGGAGGATCATTCATTCATCGTCCTTGCACCGTAAATGTTACCTGCTCGTATTACCGGAAATGGTTCAATATAATGGCCGGACGAACAGTTAAAACGCACCAGATTTCACAACTAAGCGCGATTATTTGGTTTTGTAATAATGCAAAAATAAAGCACCTAAATAGTTGTGGTAAATAAATCGCGAGGCTACGAAACTCCACTTTGAAGAAATCATTCAACTTTCGATCACATATTTACATAGGTCCGCTTTACCGAGCCCAAATATCATCCTTGAGCAGTAGCTGTCCAGTGCTTTCAACTCACGTCTGATTTATAAAACGAATTCATCATATGATCCAATCCAACCCTCCATTCCCCTCATACAACAATGAGTCAGGTTGTGAAAGTTTCCAGCTGAGTTATAACCGCGAAAACCTCGCTCATCCGAACGAGGTGTGATGCCCGCACTAAGCTCGCAAAGATGGGTTGCGCTGTATCGTGTATATTCCAAATGAAAACCGATGCAATCAGCTGTCCGGTGACTGAGTGGGTAGTAGCAGTAGTAGTGGTAGTAGTAGTAGTAGTAGTAGTGATAGTGCTGTGAGATACTACTCACACTTGTGAGTAGTTTGCAAAAAGATGCGATTGGAGGTTTCTTTCAACGGTCAAAAACAAACAAGACCTTTTTAGAGCGAATCGCTGCCGTTCGGTATGGTAAGTAAAAGAATGCGCATCTAGTGATAGACCGTTCCATTAACTATCCTGTGTGCTTATGGGAATTTTGAAGACTTGTTCCAAATGAGATATTTCGTTGCATGAATGCCAACTAATCGATACCGATAATAAACGGCTATTCTCGACTAGGTACCGCCTAGTGGAGTTATAACAATAGTAATAGTAGTAATAGTAGTAATGGTAATAGTAGTAGTAATAGTAGTAGTAGAACGGCTCAGTTTTTGTTTTACGATATGAGCTGAAACATTCTGGCTCGAAACTGTTCAAACGAGACCCGAATCATATAAGTCCATAGTTAGATTGTGGGCGTTCAACTATCTGGTTGCCCGGGTCAAGGAGCTTTCTGATGAAGGCGTTTGGTTAAAGAACCTACCCAACGAGGCAGCTAGGTGGAGTAGATAGTCAACAATCCTCTGGGAATTAGTGACTGGTACATCAAATTCTACGCCTTTCGGATGCAACCGAGTATCCGAGACACGCAGCTCCCCGTTGGTGCACTCATTTGCCCATTAGCGTTATAGAGATGAACCTACGTATCGAGTCCAGGGTTGCACTGAATAAGCTGTACCTCCTGTCAATGATCACACGTGGTTGAGATTAATATTCTCTGCTGACGTGTCTTGGGGTTACTTTAAATCCAATGGAACGTTTGAATAGACTTATAATGATATACCAATTGGTTTATTCGAGAATTCTAAATTACCTCTATGAAATGGGAAATCGAAGTATAACTATGACCTAAAAAATCCTTTTTACGGCATGAGTGCAGAGGATTCGCGCAATCTGTAATATGCAGGTCGTTCAGAAGGCGTAAATCGGTCACTCGCCAGCAAATAAGCTGAAATCTGTTGCTGCATTTACTGATCACTTGACGCATTTGATCAACCTAGGAAAGAGAACTACGAATCTGGTGACTGATCGAATTTCTACCATGACCAAACAAAACATCATTTTGTTGAAGTTTAACTCACAAGGAGAAAAGTGTATCATGTCATCTTTCATTTAGTCATCTGTATGTGTCCTATATGTCATAGAATGTGTTCAAACGGTTGAGTATTATTTTGCTTGAATGCATCAGGAAGTAATGTACAACTTGGATCTTTCAAGAACAGGATGGATGCAACCTAGTGAACACACCGCACGATGAAAAAGTACTTTGGCTTCATCAGATTGTGAACCGTGCTCAAGCTTGAGTTGTTCTTTCCTTTCCATACGGATTGCGTAACTGATGTCTTAGCTAGTTTGATGCTTTCCGTGCTACGCTCGGAGGAAGTTGCCCTGGGATATTGTATGAAGGTTCTTTGCAGTTGTGATCCGTTACGAGTGATAAAAGGGAGAAAAGCAGATGGAGAGACAGACAGAGAGAGAGGGAGTATAAATGAATGTTATGCTATGGAGGTTTCATTATCGCTCAGTTTGATTAACACCTGTTTTCCTCCATCTCTCTCCCACTCACTCTATGTACAAGCACTGACCAAACTCGTGCAACACCCTGACTTTTATCACCTTTGTTCCTCCCAACGCGTAGGTTTTCCAGCCTCATTCACAAGGGATTGAATATGGTATTGTCCTATATCAGACGCCACATATTCGTAATAACATCCACCCATGTCATTGCTTCTGTTAGTTGAATGCCCATGAAATGTACGATTTCGCGATTTTGACGATAATGGCTGGTGCATCCTTTGCAAAATAAGAAAGCCAGAGGAAAAAATAATCAGAATTTATTAATCAAAATGACTCAGGTCTATTTACCCTTCTTCAGTTTTGAGCACTAGAGGCAGTCGCTTTAGCATGTAGCCCACCAATTTGATTAATCAAGAGAATTTGCCAGTTTCCTCTAATACATATCGCACCCTAACCCTTGACGGCCATTCTGGATGGGGCCAACTTATCCCTGCTTCTAACACGGGGAAAAGGTTTTAATTACATTCAAATTCCTACTGCTAGGCGGTAATTAAATGAATTTGACATTGCTCTTGATTCATTCAGAAAAAAGGATATTTAATGAGGTCGAACCGTTTTATACTACCAATCTCAAGCGAGAAGATATACTGTCTTTCAACTGTGAAAAATATGACTACCGCGAATGCATTTTGGAAGTGCAGTTATCAAAAACCTCCCTTATTATTACAAAAAAATTTGCGATATCCAGATTTGTATGTCCAATAGACCAACAGCAAGGCGATCAGTTTTAACGTTCCTTCCAACTCATTAGGCAGGATGTATATATCTTTCTTTTGTCAGGAAAAACGAAATTAATTGGAAGACCAGGTCAGTAGATCAGCTTTCTCTGCCTCCTGAATTGCAAATCTTATAGCCACAGTCAAGGTCGCGTGAATTCAAACGGTGAACTAAGAACATAGATGTTGGAGATAAAGTCAGGAATAAATACACCACCCATAGTCATCAATATATATAAGTAAGATATTGCAAACCGAAATGGATTTCCAAAATCAGAGTGCTCCTACACGAGTTTGGTCAACACCTGTATCTAGCAGAGGGGGAATCCAGATACTTCCTTGTTGTAGTATAATCGATATGAGTGATGCGGCTAATCAGTGAGACCCATACATCAATCACTGACAGTGATGAGCATCGTCCTGTAATCATACATTCGCTACAATCGTGGCATGACACTATTTGCTCTGGATAGATAAATACAGTTTACCGTACTTATCAATAAATCATGCGAAAAGGTTCGCATAATAGGTGGCTTGATAAAGAATCATAGGCATTGTTGTGCTTATTCGGTCTTGCCGTGGTTAAGGTAGCCAAATATTCAATAACGCACTTAGTAACATCACTTTAGTAACTTACTGTCGAAGTAACCATGTACCCACTCACTCAATCACCCACCCAATAACTCACTCACTCACTCGCCCAGTCAATGACTCATCCATTCACTCATACACACGCTCATTCAATTATCGATTAAACTACTGACAATTTGATGAAGTATATACACAGATAAGTAACACAACTATCGGACGAAATTCGGAGACATAAATTGCCAATAGTTTTGGTCATCCTTCGCGTGGTGGATTGAAAACCCAGATCGAACGTGCTGCGTTTTAAGTTACTTCGGGCAAGCGAATAACACATTCTTGAAAAACATTTTTATCTCTTGCGGTCCCTCCAAACCCGCCCGGCCTTTTGCAAACAGATGTTTTTGAAAGGTGAAATGAACATCACCTGTGATGAGGCGTTTCGCAACGCAATCAGCGATTTCTTCGAGGTGGTCCTCGAGAGCGATCGGATAGCCAGTATGGTCAAGTCTGGCTCATGCTCGATGTACGACATTCGCGAAGTGTTTATCACCAATATTGAGAAACGAGTAAGTTCTTCCAGGGTATGGAGATTTAATGTGTGAATATTTTTCGCTTCAGCTGGACATTTAAATCAGATAATCTGAGTCGTTTAGATATGTGCTGAGCATGATCTTTATCTATGTATTAAATTGAGGGTGGGGAAAAGGGGGTGAAATACGATACCCAACAATTCGATGACTAATCATTTGACATCATCCGATTGATAAATACTATACGATTTTGTAAGATTCAATAATTATTGTATATCAAAAGTTCTGTTTCCCATTTTGAGGGATTGAGCAAGTCAAAAAATTGTAGGTCGATACGTAAAATCGAGTTAATCAATTTGTATCCGAAGTGGCACTAAGGAAAGCGAGACACAGAATGACCCAATAATTGGAATGTACACTGATTATCTAAATTTTCAGATTGTTGTGTCAAAACAAAGGCCGATTTCACAAGAATATTTAGACGGGTAGATTGCTGCGCGTTCTAATCGTGCTAAGGGAGTTCTCAAGATAGATACCTTTGATGTCCTCGGCTGATCGAGAATCCACTCACCCAATAGGATGAGAGTCATAGGGCCAATTGTTGCGCGGTACCTGGCAACCAGTTTTATACACCGATTTAGACGTAAAATCAAAAATAAGCCTCTGATCTTCCAAGTTACTTCAATCTCGACTTGTGATAGGACGAGAAAACGAAAGAACCAGGATATAGAATGCTGTCATTCCTGAACAACACTGACGCTAGATGAAAGGCCAAATCGCTCGAAAAGTACGAAAAAACGATTAGTGGCACCACATACAACTGGAGGTGAAATAAATAATCTCTGATCTCAATCTGGGAATATATTTGATGAACACCAATTATTAATCAGTTCCAGTGTTGTGAGATACTACTCACGCTGGTGAGTAGCACACAAAAGAATGCCGCTGGCAGTTTCTTCCAACGTTCAAAAATGAACAAGACTTCTTACAGCGAGTTGCTGTATTCGAAATGATAACTACGGCCTGTTCCATTCATTAACCTACGTGATACCGGGAATTGCGATGACATGTTTCAAATGAGATATATTGTTATATGTACGTCAAACTATCCATCCCCTAACTGTGGTTGGCAATAAATATTTTCCTCAAGCCCTGGTCTTCTGGAATAATAACACCAGTAAAAACAATTGCATGGCTAAAACTAGGAGATTTGCGAATTCAGTTGAATCGTGAAATTAGTTACTACCGGCGCTTCCGTAAAATGACCGACAGAAACTTATTTATTCTAATTTAAAGTTTTGTTCATTGATACGGTTGGGCGAATGGATTATACGATTTCGCTGTTCTCACAGACTATTAACCAATTCCAATTTTTGAGAGAGAAAGGTGTGGGGTGGAGAGAGAAAACTGAGGTACTGGTGGCCGGAATAAAAATATCGATTTAGAGGGTTAGTAAAAATTTACCAGAGACAAGCTCACGAAATGTAGATACTCCAATGTTTCTCTAAAGTTGTCATGCGATTGCACACTTGTGATTGTTTCTCCAATCCCCGTCTGTGCAAGCACCCAAGGCCAGTGCGTCCAGACTACCACCATAATTCGTTTCCTCGGAAATCCATTCGGACTTCGAATAGATTCCGTTCTCATTAAACTCACTGATGTGAATTAATTCGGACTATACGCGTTTACTGATTACTGAAGCAACAAATGAGAAACAAAACTTGCTCACAGTTTCTCTATGCAACTCGTCTGAACGAAATTTTTCATTTGTCTGCTCCTTGTCAGTCACAATTTTGCTCATCCATTTTTCGCAACTTCTCCTTATCCCGAAATCCCCTTATTTTTGGGCAGTTTCAAACTCACCAGCTCGTCGAGGGTCTGTCCAAGGAGAGTGTGGTGAGCGCGTGGAAAATCAAATTTGATCAGATATGTCGCGGCGGTGAACGACCGTGCCCCGTCGCAATGACTCTGGCTGTTCCACAGGCCGAGGTCACAAATCCGAGCAAAGATCAGCTGTACGAATTGTTAATGCGCACTCTGACCATACAGAAATACGAGCATCAAGTGTTGTACAATGCTTGTCAGGTGAGTATGAGATAAACAAATAATAGGGAAACGGGGGATCTTCTTGAAAAAAGTTGGATCGTTTATGCTAAGCTTCAAAATCCCTGCTTGCTTGCTTGCTTCTGTGTGTGTATGCGTCTACGACATCCAGTCGAGCCACTCCGGCAAAATGCCCTACTCATTTTCATTTGTGCCGGATACGAACTTATCACCATGATCCGATCGGATGATGGACCGAATTAACTGAGCTTTGTTTTCTTTCCATGCGTTAGCCGAATTATTTTCTTTATGGTATAATAACGGTCACCAATAGGCTATTTGGATTTCGTGAGGAGAGAAGAACTTGTTACCAACAAAGAAGTAACTAATTTATCCCATCGATTACTGTATTCGGAAGCTTGACAAGTTTAAGTGAGCTCAGTTGTCTATTTCAAAGAGGAAATTTCTCGTGCGTAGAACAAATGAAGCGTGAGCTGAAAAGCTAGGAAGTATTGTATAGCTGTTTCGACCTGGTTGGGTCTCATCAGCCGTGCGATAGGTTGTGAAAGTTTTCAACCGAGTCATAACCCCGGAGGCTAGTGCTGAGATAAGCGAGGTCTGTGGCCTGTAACAAGCTCGCAAAGATGGGTTGTGCTATATCGAGTAAATGGAAAATGAAAGACGGTCTGGTCAGCTGTCCGGTTGCCGAGTGGATAGTACGCTTGCGTTCTACCTGTGGGGTCCCGGGTTCGATCCCTAGTTGGGTCGAGGGATTCGCACAGTTGATGAGACCCAACCAGGTCGAAGAAGCTGTCCAGTGCTTCGTAGATTTTCAGTTCACACTTCATTTTGCTCTATGAATGACGATTTTTTTCTTTGAAATTGAATCAAATCCTCCATTAGTCTCATGTGATTTCAGTTGTCTTAAATTTTATCACAAAACAGTAGAAGGTAATGAGCGGTTTAAGTGATGCACGCACCACCATCCTGACTGTTATTTCATATTAGTTCGCCAAGTGGAACGAGTTCCTTGTAAAATATTGTTTCCCTATTATCAAGTCTCTTTCTTCACACCCTACGTATAGTTGTTATCAGTTATTCAAACTGATTGCTTTTTGAATATTGCCCAGCTTCCAGTAGATCAACTGAGTGAGAGAGACGAAGAGAGATTTGAACTTCATCTTCATTATCCCGCATACACCAAACATGATGTATTAGATTTTTTCACTGATTGAACATCTTGTCCTCAAAGTTTCTCAAATCCCAAAACTCGAGTCAACTTCAACAATTGTTTATGGAATGAATCAACCACTCAACGTTTTTAAAAAACGGGAACTAAACTACAGTTTGCGATTCTCATGTTCAGATCATTTATTCTTGGCAATCAAGGTCAGGGACGTTTAATTGACAATCATGCAGCCCAGAAACTACGTACATCGAAGTAGA